GTACCCTTCCTTCCCCAGCAGATTCTCAGCGTCTCATATCTTCATTAATGCTGACATTTCTCTCCCCCCCGCCTCTTTCTCTCTGTGTATGTGGTGTTCAAGCATGTGTATGGGTGTTCACATGTGTGTGGGTACATAGGCAGGCCAGCGGTCAACACTAAAGGCTCTCCACCTTACTTGCCGAGCCAGGGTCTCTCTGAACGTGTAGCTCTAAGATGCAGCCAGTTCACCCCTGCGGGTCCCTACTCTGGCATCGAAGATAGGCTACCACGCCCACCAGGCTTTTGTATGCTGGTGCCAGGGAGCCGAACTCCTGTCCTCACACTTGTGTGGTAAGCATCTTTGTCCACCAAGTCACAGCCTTTGGCTCTCAGGCTAGCCTGCAGGACAACCTTGAACTTCAGCTCCTCCTGCCTCCATTGTCTGAGTGCAAGGATAAGAGGAGTGGATTACCAATGCTTGGTTTACGCCGGAGCTGGGGGTGGAACCCAGGACTTCCTGCGCACCCTACAAGTGCGCTCTAAACTGAACTCACGCCAGCCGTTTTTGGGTTCCACTCTAATTCACACAGCCCTGCTCATTGAGTTCTCCTTTCCGGCGGCTTATGAAGGATGGATCACACACAAGGGTAGCCACTGTGCTTTGTAATCGGAGATGCGTCAGGGGGACGAATGGCTGGTAACCAGGGTTCTCTCATTTCAGTGGCAGTGGCCACATGTCTATGTGCTCAGCTTCTCAAATTCTTTCTATAGTTTGGCCTGTCATACCATGACTCTGAATCCGTGGATTCAACAAACCTCAGATAGGAAATATTCTCTCAAGAGAATATTGCATCTGGTAGTTCGTGTGGTGGTGTGCACCTGTAATCCTAGTATTTGGGAGGTGAAGGCAGGAAGACTAGGGGTTCAAGGTCAAACTCAGCTACTTAGTGAGTTCAAGGCCAGCCAGGGCTATATGAGCTCTTGTCTAAAAAATAACTGTACCTGTATTATGCAAGTACAGACTTTTTTCTTATCATTATCCCCTACATAACAAAACATGACAACTCTTTATATGACAATTACATTGCATGAGGTGTTTGAAGTCATCTAGCAGTGATCTTAAAATATACATGACGATATACATAGGGTTTATGCAAATATTGTCTTTTTCCATAAGTGACTTGGTCATCCCAGATTTTGGTATTCTGGTAGGGAGCAAAGGATGCCCTATAGAATATATAATATCTTACATCACTGATGCTCTGGGACAACCACCCTGCCCATTCATTTTCCATGATAAATTGTGTTGTGAGGATGAGGTTATCCATCATCCTAATTCATGATGATTTTTTCTACATTGCGAGGTAGTTTTTAATCACAAAAAAAAAAAATCACAAAACATTTTTTTTTTCTTAAAGCACATTACTCAGTGAAAGAAGTCTGGTGTGACCATGGAGGAAGGGAGGGAATCAAGGAGTTTTGGACTCTGGTCCATGGGTTCTCAAACTTTGCTCCAGAGATCTGAACTACCATTATTATCTAGAACTGAAATACAGGTCATCTGACTCCCCTGGTACCTACTGAACCCCTGGGGTGAGAATCCCGATCTTGGACATTTTAGCACCCCCACCCCAGTCCCAGGAAATGGGAAGAAATTTTGGCAAACCACTGATTCGTTCTATCCTTACCCCACAGCTACAGACAAACCCAGTTTGGCAGAACGCTTGTTTTGGTAACATAGTTAAGAAGTTGCTACCTTCCCAGGGTTAAACAATTAATCTCTACAAATAAATGTAAGTTACATCTTGAAATATGATTCAGGAAATATTACCAAGCCTTGCACCGAGACTGAGTGAGCTCCAGGTCAGCCAGCCTGGACTACAGACTGAGACCCTGTCATTCTCTAAGGCCCCAAAGCCAAAATGGTGTTATTTCTGATTGCTAAAGGCAACACTGTCACTGCATGCCCCTTAACATGAGTTCATCTGGACGCACTGTAAACTGTGTTTTGCAAGTATTTGCTTCAAATCATCTTGCAGTCAGAAGGTCTTGGCGGTTGACTTTTGCCTCAGCAGCATTAGGTTCAGCTCCCTCTAGCTCATGCGTGATGCCATGGACTGGTGACCACTGGGGCATTTGAAGTTCTGCATGTTAGCTCTGCCCCTACCCACAGTTTGACAAGAATTTAAAATAATGCTTTGGGTTCCTCAGATGAGAGATAACAACTTGCTCTGTTGCTAATTAGATAAAAGGGATAGAAAGCAAAACTGATTGGCCCCAGGAGGATGGTTTTCCCTGAGGACTCTATTGGAAGATGTCTGAGTTGTGGAAGAATTGTTGTTATGGTTAAAGATGGGCTTTGGAAATGTCTTCTTCCTTCTCTTTAGAGCCCTGATCATCACAATTGAAACATAAACCAAAAGCATCTTTTCTAAACCATCAGTCAGCCTGGGATGGAGTTACTTAATTGACTAGACAGAGTAATTGGGATGTCAAAGTCCTCTACTTTCTCAGCTTCAAAGTGAAAACCAAATCCTTACATTTTAAGTTAAGAAGGAATCCCTGAGTCATTTCTCTTCCTTCCATAACAAAGTCAGCTGCAGAGCCAAGCATGGTGGCATGTGGCATGGTGGAGTGCCTGTCATTCCAGCACTCAGGAGGCTAATGCAGGAACATTTAGGGTTCTAGGCTGGACTGGGCGCCTCCTAATGGCCCTGCCCCCAAATCAAACCAAACCTCAAAGCAAACCACCTAAACATGTCCTTCCAAAGAGAAACCCAAGATCTGATTCAAGTTCGCCTCGTTTTGTGAGCCCTTTCTGCCTGGAAAACTTGACCCCCTCAAAGCAGCTACAATAAATTCTCGGTCAGTTCTCTCCCAGCCACGCTTCCTGTGTCCCTTTTTGCTGTTATTTAACTTTACTAAGCTGGTGTTTCTGTATGAACCTGCACCCTCTCTAGCTCTTTCCTGAGTAAAGAATAGTGATTAATTGGGGATGAAAAGCAAGTCCCAGAACAATTATGAAAGCACAATGAAGTGTGTGCGTCAGAACTGCAGCTCAGCAGAGGGAAGGTGCGGGGAAAGCCTGAAATCTTCCACCGGTTGCCCCAGCTTGCCTGGAGGTGTTCCTGCACTTGATCCTTTGTGTATTTCTGGGCAACAGGATTAAGTCCAAATTGTTTGTTTTGCTTTTGCATAACACCCCGGTCTTGCCTCCCTTACAGTTGATTGGGTGGGGCAAGCAGCAACTTTCTGAGCGGTGGCCTTTACCTTGCTTCTGTCTGGGTTTTGGGTTTTGCGGGGTCAGGTGAACTCAATCTTGACCCTCTTTAAGGGAAGGTCAGAGGTGCTGAGTGTCCAAAGGACAGGCATCCTCAATCCCTTTGATTGCTTTTCATTTCTTTCCTATCTTTTTTTCCGGGCGGGGGGGGGGGGGGGGGGAGTTTGAACCAAGGGCTTCATTCAGACTAAACTGATCCCATTGAGCTGGGTCTCCAGCCCCAGTTCTATTTTGAGATAGGGTCTCATTAAATGGCCCAGCCTGGCCTTGAACTTGTTATCCTCCCTGCTTTAATCTCTAAAGTGCTGGGATAACAGGACTGTAATAGGTTCCAAGTCTTCTTTTGTTTCAGATAAACAATACTCTATATTTTGGAGATGTTCTATATAGGTTAGTAACGCTCTCTCTCTCTCTCTCTCTCTCTCTTTCTCTCTGTGTGTGTGTGCACGCGCGTGCACATGTGTGTGCTCTCCTTGTTGAACTAGGTATTGAACCCGGGGCCTTATGAGTACTAGACAGATGCTGTACCACTGAGCTACATACCCAGCCCTCAAAAAGACGTGTTGGATAGTGTTCACCACATAAAGGGTTCTGTCTGCAGCAGAGAGAATGTCTTTAAGGTGGCCCCTGGGAAGGGCAGGCATGTCTAGCCTGATTAATTGACTAGTTCAGGAGTAATTGCTTCCAAAGTGAGGACCAAGGGCGTGGTTGCTAAGCCTGCGGGTATCCACTTTGTTCTTGACTCTAGGAAAAGGTAGGTAGAAAGGCTGAGACTCCCCTGCTCAACAGCCAAAAGCTCGCAGTGTCCGTTCTGGATAAGCATACTGGACTGCAGCTACTGTTCAGAAGGAAGAGAAACAGGCAACTAACACCCTCTAATACAATAACCAGGTTCATCAAACATTCTCCTACAAGGTCTTTTAGTCCAGGATCCAAGAATGGGGACTTGGTCCAAGAGCAGACAAAAAAGGAGCAACAGCTGTATTTTTAAATATATGAGCAGCCCCACTGGCGTGGTACTGGATTAAATTCTGAAGCATTATGAGACTTCTTATTTTGGTCAGTATCTGTACTTCTTAATATAGTAATGCCGTTAATGTTTATCTCTTCAGTCTGTGTAAATCTGAACTCCCATGTTATTGGCCAGTTGGAAAGGGTAATGAGAACAGATTTGCTTGCCCTCGTTAAGTTATGTATCTGTGTACTTTGTCAGGCTGCAGCGATTTCAGTGTTCATTCTAAGCCACAAGGCTTCGCCAAAACGAAATTACTGATGCCAAAATTATACTCTGCTGTTTAGACACAGCAGACGTAATAACCTAATATTTAACAGGGTTATTTTCGGAAAGGGGATGAAGCTGGAGATTGAACTGTCCTTTGCCATGACCAGAGAAGACTCTGGAAGAAACGGGAGCCACTTTCTGAAAAGGCTGCATTTTCTTTTGCTGCTGACCTAAAGACCCAGGGAAGGGCTCCTTAGAACATTTGTTTGAGGCAGGTGCAGAAAGAGGGTAGTAAGGGGGAAGAAAAATAATCTGCAAGCAAACAAAACATGTAAATAATAAAACCTGGAAGAGTGAAACTCCATCTCAGGACAGGGTACGCCATTGGGCTGGAGTCTGGATGTTTTGAATCTCAAGTCCTTGCAGGAAGGGATCCCCTGGCTAGTCTAGTCTACCAGCAGAGACTCTGCAGAGGGACATTGAGAACTGAAGGGCTCTCTTTCTTCACAGGCTGGAACAGAAGCTCATTTTCCACTGGGAGTCAATGCACAGGGCAAAGACTCCGACTTGTGAAGTGCAGACACATTGTGAAGGAAAATGGAAAGGCAATCGGCAGCCTAGAGGATGCTTAAACTGCCTCTAAAGTGTGTCATGAGAAGTTGGGTATGGGTGAAAGCCAGCACTTGGGAGCTAGAGTCAAGAGGATCGGGAGTCCAAAGCTAGCCTCTGTTACCTAGGGAGTTCCAGGCCAGTCTGGCTTGCTTGAGATCCTGTTTTGTTTTGCTTTTTAATATAAAGTCATGGAAAAGTCCAAGAATGGAGATCGTTACGCCCTTAACGCTGTTTAGATGCAAATTCTTCACGTTGTTTGTAGCCAGGATTCAAACTCCGTTCTGCGAAGTCTTCAGGTTTCATCCAAATTAGAGGGTATAACTTACCACCTGCTCACTAGACCCCAACATTCTGTAACACCAGAGCAGATGCCTGAGTAAGAGGAGAGGGGTTCGTGTCAAAGTCGCACCCCCCCCCCCCCACCTCTGCCGTGTCAAATCCCCTAGGACCGGAACTCCTCCCCCTGGGAGCTCTTGTTTTGGAAACTGGTGGGGTGGGGCTAGAAAACATTACAATGGAGCGGGGCTGGAGGAGGTGTGCTTTTATTTCAGATTGTGTCATTTGAGCGGACTCTCCCGAAACTACAGCTCACAGAACGGAGGCTGTGGTAGCTCCCCTGGGTTGTTAAGCTGGCACACCCCGGAGAACAGGCAACAGAGCAGGCGAGGGAGGCAGCAGAGGAGGGCAGCAAGCCGCACGCCTAGCCCGGCTCATCCCTTCAACTTTGGCTTTTGCTGTGATGATTGTAACAGGAGGAGGAAGGGCTAGGAGAAACCCCTGAGGACATAGAATTGAAAAAGAGGTAGCAGTGCCCGTAAAGCAGCCCGCAGATGCAAACGGGGAGGCCCAAGGAAGAGGAGGAAAAGGCTGGGCTCCGGCAACCTGCTGCTTGATTTTACACAAAGGAGGTTTGAGAGAGGCGGGATCAGATTCTAATATCAGCTTGAGGCGAGAGCCAGCCGCTGAGCTCGGGAAGATGAACCGGCAGGAATTCACAGTGACTGGAGCATGTACCACAGCGAGAGCTCCCAGGAAAAAGTAAGTCTGGGAAGGGATTTGCGGAGCTTGACGGGAGCTCTGACATCTCGCCCCTCTTGAAGGCATGCCTCCGTCCCTGCGTTACCTCTTCGTAGTCTCTGTGACTACTGTCATCGTTTTTATTGTGCTGTACGTGTTAAGTTTTGGGGGACATCAAAGCTACCAGAAGCTGAACGTCTCGGACTCCGTGATGCTGTCTCAGGTGTGCACATCCTTTGTCAACGGGAAAACCCCTTTCCCGTGGAGAAACAAACTAATGATCCACGAGACGCCTTCTTGCACGGAATATGTGACCCAAAGCCACTATATCACAGCCCCTTTATCTCAGGAAGAGGTTGAGTTTCCTCTGGCCTATGTCATGGTCATTCATCACAATTTTGACACCTTTGCAAGGCTCTTCAGGGCTATCTTCATGCCTCAAAATATCTACTGCATTCATGTAGACGAAAAGGCAACCCCTGAATTCAAAGGTGCAGTGGAGCAGTTGGTGAGTTGTTTCCCCAACGCCTTTATGGCTTCTAAGATGGAGCCCGTGGTCTATGGTGGAATATCCCGGCTCCAGGCCGACCTGAACTGCATCAAAGATCTGTCCGCCTCCGAGGTCCCGTGGAAATATGCCATCAACACCTGCGGGCAGGACTTCCCCCTGAAAACCAACAAGGAAATAGTTCAGTACCTGAAAGGGCTTAAGGGGCAGAATCTCACCCCGGGGGTGCTGCCCCCAGCACATGCCATAGGAAGGACCAAGTATGTCCACCGGGAGCACCTGAGCAAAGAGCTTTCCTATGTGATCAGAACCACGGCACTGAAGCCGCCACCTCCCCACAACCTCACCATTTACTTTGGCTCTGCCTACGTCGCTCTATCAAGAGAGTTTGCCAACTTTGTTCTTCGTGACCCCCGGGCAGTTGATTTGCTCCATTGGTCCAAAGACACTTTCAGTCCCGATGAGCATTTCTGGGTGACGCTCAATAGGATTCCAGGTATGTGAGAGTCCGTGTTGCATGCAAAGGAATGCCTGCAGGCCATCTTAGGCCGCGTTTCAGAGGTCAACCTATTTTGGATGGAAAATATTCATGGGAAAAAGAATGTGCCTGTGTTGAGTTCATGTAAACTTTCTTCTTATGAGTCCTTAAACAATGCAATTTAACAATTATCATATGGCATTTCCACTGAGTTAGGGGTTACAAGTCATGTGGAGAACATGCCAGTGAATATACAGGAGGTTGTGTGTGCATAGGTCTTATGAAAATGTTGCACCATTTGATGCAAAGGACTTATATCCACGGGTTTTCATCACCCAAAGGGGCCCTGGAACCAATCCCCTAGGGATGTTGAGGGGTGACTGTGTTTAAAGGACTTTTGAACTATCTGCCTCTTTAAAAAGAAGAAGAAAGAAAGAGAGAAAGAGGAATTAGAGATGCAGACTGCAGTGTAGAGCCCTCACCCTAGTCCTTTAGGAGCATCCATGGTGCTCTCTGTGGGATGATTCCCAATCAACACCTTCCCATGTGACGCTGGCAGCTTACGTCTGTCAGTCATCTCTTAGTACTGTGTTTAGTTCATCCTAGAAGTTTTTCTTCTCCACAGATTTATCAGACTTTCTCTTAGCCCAAGATCTTCGCCTGAGCCTCCCTCCTGCCTTCCCCTAGAACCACACAGACCACAACTCTCCAAGGAGGGCTACTCTTGTCAACTACCTGCCCCTTCCCCGCGCACAGCCGTGTGCCAGCACACTGCCCAGTTTTCCCTTTAAGGAGTCACTGTGTATAATGATCATGTATACTGATCCGCCTGAATTTGTTCCTGGTCTTTCCTATGGGAGATCCATGAAGTTGAGGTCATTTTCTGTCTCTATTTGATTGCTATATCCTCAATGATTAGATCCCATAGTAAACGTTCAGTAAGTTTGTGTTAGATGGAATAGTGTAAGTAAGCAAGGGGTAAGAGAACAAATGGTGAACCATGGGGCTTTACTACATATGGAGCCCTAGCAGACTGTGGAAGATGCAGAAGGCTGAGAGATATTTGGATGTATACGAGTACAGGGCTGGAGAGATGACTTAGCCGTTAAGAGCACATTGCTTGCTCGTCCAGAGAACCAGAGTTCATTTCTGTCCCAACAACCATCTGTAACTCCGGCTCCAGAGAACTGACTCTGGCCTCCACAGCCACCTGCACTCACCTGCAGCTACTTGCACAACAGACATATTTACATACAGGAAATTTAAGAAATAAATCTTATTAAAAAAAAAGAAAACCTTACATTTCACTTCATACAAATAATGAGATCCCAAGACACAGCCCCTTCTTTCTCATCAAAATGCTTTTGCCTTTAATAATTGACAAGGTAAGTTATTTTGATTACAGTTTTATTTATCTTGTGTGTGTCGGTGGCAGAGTATGTCACGGCACAGATGAGGATGTCAGAGGGCCATATTCGATATCCCAGGATATCGATGACTTGTCCTCAGTAAGCCAACTAGCACAGCCACGTTAACAGTAAAAGGCAAAAGGACATCTATCTACTGCGGCCACAGGGGGAAGAGGGGATACAGGGCATCACTTTAACTTCTTAGGGTACGTACTGTGACCCCCCCCCCATAAATTCAATATTGACTATGGCACTGGGGAGTTGGTTTCCTCCTTCCTCCGTGAGGATTCTGGGGCTCAAACTTTAGTCAGTTCTGGCAACAGGTGCCTTAATCTGCTGAGCCATCTCGCTAGCTCTGAATCATGCTCCTCGGAAACATATATAAAACGTGGTAGCATTTCTCTGGAAGGCAGCAGCATGCTCTGGACTCCGTGGAAAAGGCAAACGGATTGCTAATGAACTAGACAACACTGGCCAGTGAGAGAAAAGCAATCATTGTTCTGCCATTGGGGGAGTGCCAAGTTGGGAATGCTGGTAAGCGCTCTGGGCAGCAGGGCCTGGCTGGCTGGGTAATAAACATACCCGTGTTCTGGAAAATACCAGGGGGTGTGGTCTCTGAATCCCAGGGTGACTGCCAGAGCCACCTAGCTTAGGTTCAGCGCGCCCTGTCATCTTTTCACCCTTCATCTATTGTTTCCATTATTGGCATGTCATTTAGGGACAGCACTTAGAAGCTGATTTCCATATTTAAATATTTATCTCTTTCCTATTTCCAGTATTCTCTTAAAATTCATGAGAGTTGGAGTCTGGCCATGTGCACTTTGGGCACGGTACTGAGTGAGATAAGGTCATTATGTGACTCTTGACAAAGTAGGGCTTGTCACTTTTTGTGAGATAGAGAAAGAGATGGCTAGGCGTGGCAGCACGTGCCTGTTCTCTCAGCGCTCAGGAGAGGACCAGCAGGATGTGAGTTCAAAGACAGCCAGCTTAGACATCAGGGTCCTGCCTCCGAAACTAGGGATGGAGGGATGGAGAGACGGAGGGAAGGACAGAGGGAGGCAGCTATGAGACTGAGTTTTGATTTTTGGGAAATATCTCTATTTCAGCAAGGGGTGAACAGTTCGACCCATGGCAAACCAGTACCAGAAAAAAAAAAATCAAGAACAGAAGAACTTACTTTCTCCCTCAGCCTCCTTTCTCTTTCCTGTCAAAGAATGACCAGTGTCACCAGGCAGGTGACATCTACCTGCTATCCCAGTGTGTGGATGCCGAGAAGGAAGAGACTCCTTTGAGCCTAGAAATTTTAGTTTAATCTGAGCATCATAACAAGACTCCATCTGTAGTGACATTTCATTTTTATTTTATTACATAAAGCTTGCCAGAAGATCAGAGAGTAAAACAGCCCCGCTGGTTAGACCAGGCAGTGGTGACACACACCTTTAATCCCAGTTTACCATAGAAACTGGGCAGTAGCGGTGCACACCTTTAATCCCAGCACTAGAGAAGAATATAAAATGAGAGGAGACAGTTCCCAGACACAGCCTTATTCTGAGGATTCCTGGAGTCAGGGTCGCCATTTTGGACTAAGGTAGAGGTAAGAGCCAGTGACTGACTGTTTTGCTTTTCTGATCTTCAGGTTGAACTCCGATATCAGTCTCTGGGTTTTAATTAATCGTGCTACACCCATTTTGAAAATAGAATAACTAATTTAGTCCTAGGAGAGAACACCTTTGTGGCTGGAGGTCTGTAGTGTGGCTTGCTAGCTTCTACCTTCTCACAGCAAAGTAGAACCGTGAAAGAAGTGTGCAAGTTCACCCATCTCCAGCTACTAAATAAGAGGTTCAGCCAGAAAGAGTCCACATGTTCCTGCAGAAAGACACAGTGCCCGGAATATAGCACCCGGAGTAATCTGGGTGACAGTGCTTGGCGCCTAGGGGGTCACACTGCCTGTTAGCTTCATTGACAGTGCTCCATGCTCTGCAGGAGCTGAGGGAGACGCACTTCAGCTGAGCAGCTCCCCGTGGAGGAGGCCAGGGCAGCCCATGCCAGTGACCTGTCCACCCCAACTCTGCATGAGACACGCTTCAGGATAATAGGTCACTTCCTAGGGTTCTGCCTTTTTTCTTTCTTGGACAGTTGGGATTGTTGTGATTTACGGAGAAAGGGAATCCTGTTTGTTAGGTGTGGCATTCCCAAATTACAAGTGAATTCGAGCACACACCACTAAAAGTACTCTCCAGTCTTCAAACCAATGTAAAGGTCGAATCATGCTTGGCTAGTCTTGGCATTTGACTGTGGAGCCATCTTGGTGGTTTACAGTTTGGGGTGTGTGTGCGAGTCTCTACTCCTAGGTAGCTTTTAATCACATTAACTTCGCGATCGGCATTGTCACCTTCCGAAGAGAAAGGCTGTCCAGGGCCAGCCCTTGACGTGCATGTACAAACAGTGTTATTTATTCCTTCAGAGCCGTCACCGCTTCTCTCCTGAAGACTTCAGAGTGTAAGCGTTAGGAAGAAGCTGCCCAAATGGATTCACTTCCCCAAAACGGTCCCAAGAGAAATATGAGTGAGAGACTGAGCTGTATCTGATATGGTGTCAGAAAACGAAGTATGAATCATTTAAGAGGCTGAGAAGAAAGGCTACTCTCAGAGGCAGCCCCGTGTCACGTGACATCACACGGCTCTTGCTTCCTTTTTCCTTGAGTTGTCTTTCTATGGGGAGAATGGCTTGTTTCTTAGTGTTTGTCATTGCGGTAGAAGTGGTGTCTGGGTGGGGGTGTGGCTTAGTGCTACGGCATTTGTCTATTCTATGAGATGCCCTGGGTTCCATCCCTAGCACAGAAAAACAAAAGAAAAAGTCAAAACAAAGAAAAAAAAAAAAGTGTGACCGGAAGTTATCTATACTCTGTGAACTCACTCTCTTAAAAATTTGAGGAACTTGGGGTTATATAAAAATGAACCGATGGAAAAAAATATGTAGATTAATTCCTGTACAAAAGAAGTGTGAGAAAAAGAAACCACAAGTACCAGAATAATCTCTCTGAAGACAATGAGAACATCCCAGGATGATGATGCATTCTTTCCAACTCTCTAAAAGACAAGAAAAATGGTCTAAGGCAGGGAAGAACAGCATGAGTCAGAATGAGAAAAGTGAAAGAAAGGGGGAGAAAAACTGCAATGCTACTTTAAGGTAAGAGAGCTGGGACTGGAGCTTGGTGGTAGGACCCTTGCCTGACAAGCAAGGCCTTGAGAAAAAGATGGAGGGGGGGAGGTGGAAGAAGGGGGACAGTCGGGGAGGGAAGGAGAAAGGGGCAGAAGAGGAGAGGGTGGGTGATGGAAAGAGGCAGAGGAGAATAGGGGGGCTTGAAAGGGGGAGGAGAAGAAAAGGTAGAGGAGAGGCTGAGGAGGAGGGGGGCTGGGAAGAAGTAGGTGGAGGAGGAGGTGAAAGGAGGGAGGAGAAGATTATTGGGAGGAAGGGAGAGAGAGAGAGAAAGGGTCAGATAACTGGGAAGATCACAAAGAGGTCCAGTCTCAGGCATCCAGAAAGCCAGAGAGCATGCCTGTTGTTCTGAAGTGGTTCTTGTGACATTGTGACATTGGGCAGCCAATTCTCCCCCT